CTTCTCTGTATGTCTGTGTTGCTAAAATTAAATTGGAATAAATAAAGTAGAACGCAAAGTAGGAAAAAGATTTGCATCATAAAGTGTACACCTAATCCCCAAGCGCATGCCTGTGTGCGTATTTATGGCAGTACAGTTTCTACACTGTACCGTAAATGTGTGCGTATGTGGTCAACCAGTGAGGCTGTACTGATTTTCCACTAAAAATAAAACCCCATGATGCTTTGCCTTGAGGCAAAGGATTCTGGGTCAGGCTGGACTGCGCCGCACTAGAGTACTGACCCTGATGAAACAACCTTCTGTTTATGAGCATCAGTGACTGTGAATGTGTGTCAGTGAGCGAGTGAGGGTTGTTTTTTTTTTTTAATGTATCTATTTATTTATTTGTTCATTAAAAAAAAAAAAATCTGACCTTTTCATTTCTCTGCTTTTTCACCCCCATCTCTGACTGTCTGTGCATCTCCGCCTCCAGCTCTTCCTCTTTTTAATACCCATTTCTCCCTCATTCTATTTTTTCCCTCTCCTCAATCACTGTCTAATCCCTTGTCCATTTTTGGATTTCCCACTCTCTAAGGGTGAACACACGTTACATTCTTCTGAGCAGATTTAGACCTAATTAAGCTGTCTCACAAGAAATATCAGAAAATTGGGTTGAAACTACTAAGTCATGGTTTCTCTCCTAGCTTGCAGAAATCTGTAATATTCTTGGCCAGGGTAGCAATTTTCAGACACATCACTCCTGAGAGAAATGCTAAATTGAAGGCATTGCATATACAGTATAGCACCTTGCAGCACTCCTACACCAAACACTGCAGAAAGCTGGCCTGTCTAGCAGAGAGGAAATGTTTAGTCTAAAATGCGTATTATGCTCACCGGAAGCAAAAGTGTAACCATAAAGCGATTTTTTTATGGAGTGTTCACTAAAACTTGCAATTTATTATATATTATAAAGCAATTAAATATTAAATGAGAGACATAAAGAGGGTAACTTGTTCAATATACAGTAAAATATACTGGGGGGCGATCTATAAAAGTTTCTAGAAACAGCTGCAGTCAGTTCTTTCATTTTAATATCAAGCAGCATTAAAAATCAATGCAACTACCATGTGTCGTAAACATAAGTAAATCAGTTTTGTGCATCCTACTTAAATATTCTCCTCTTTTTACTTTGCACCATGAGAAAAAAAGTTTGTCATTGTGCTCTTTTTGTAAAGATCAACTACTTGCTACTTTCTTGGTACTTTTAAAAAGAAATAAATGAAATAAACTCTTTTTGGGGGAAAAAAATTAACTTAGTAAAACAATT